TTGCATGGGTTAGGGAAAACTGCTACAATCATGTAGTCTAACTATCAGCAGAAAAGCACATATTTCCTCCAGTTCATTCCTGGAAGAAAAGTTCGCCAAGGCTAAAATAACTTAGCAACTTATTTTTCATTTATAGGGTTTTTTTAATGGTTTGCATTTTATTTAGATATATACTTGCAAGTAGGACCATATGCTTAAGTCAAAACCAATAAAGTCACTGTGATAAATGTAATGACATAAAGAAACACACTCCAGTAGAAGTTGTTTTATGATATGACTTGGTGTTACCCTTTGATAAAAGATATTCTATGGTCTGATATGGTGTTATCCTTTGATAAAAGAAGTTCTGCAGTGTGACATGCACAGTATTATCCCTTCAGTGTAAGATGTTCTATGGTGTGACACAGTGTTATCCTTTCATAAAAGGTGTTCTCTGGTGTCACATGCTATTATTCTTTCATAAAAGGTGTTCTTTGATGTGACATGGTGTTATCCTTTCATAAAAGGTGTTCTCCAGTGTGACACACTATTATCCTTTAATAAAAGGTGTTCTATGGTGTGACATGGTGTCATCCTTTCATAAAAGGTGTTCTCTGGTGTCACACGCTATTATCCTTTCATAAAAGGTGTTCTCTGGTGTCACACGCTATTATCCTTTCATAAAAGGTGTTCTCTGGTGTCACACGCTATTATCCTTTCATAAAAGGTGTTCTCTGGTGTCACACGCTATTATCCTTTCATAAAAGGTGTTCTATGGTGTGACATGGTGTCATCCTTTCATAAAAGGTGTTCTCTGGTGTCACACGCTATTATCCTTTCATAAAAGGTGTTCTCTGGTGTCACACGCTATTATTCTTGCATAAAAGGTGTTCTATGGTGTGACATGGTGTCATCCTTTCATAAAAGGTGTTCTCTGGTGTCACACGCTATTATCCTTTCATAAAAGGTGTTCTCTGGTGTCACACGCTATTATCCTTTCATAAAAGGTGTTCTCTGGTGTCACACGCTATTATCCTTTCATAAAAGGTGTTCTCTGGTGTCACACGCTATTATCCTTTCATAAAAGGTGTTCTCTGGTGTCACACGCTATTATCCTTTCATAAAAGGTGTTCTCTGGTGTCACACGCTATTATCCTTTCATAAAAGGTGTTCTATGGTGTGACACGCTATTATTCTTGCATAAAAGGTGTTCTATGGTGTTCTATGGTGTCATCCTTTCATAAAAGGTGTTCTCTGGTGTCACACGCTATTATCCTTTCATAAAAGGTGTTCTATGGTGTGACATGGTGTCATCCTTTCATAAAAGGTGTTCTCTGGTGTCACACGCTATTATCCTTTCATAAAAGGTGTTCTATGGTGTGACATGGTGTCATCCTTTCATAAAAGGTGTTCTATGGTGTCACACGCTATTATTCTTTCATAAAAGGTGTTCTATGGTGTGACACGCTATTATTTCACAAAAGGTGTTCTATGGTGTGACACGCTATTATTCTTTCATAAAAGGTGTTCTATGGTGTGACATGGTGTTATCCTTTCACAAAAGGTGTTCTATGGTGTCACACGCTATTATTCTTGCATAAAAGGTGTTCAATGGTGTGACATGGTGTCATCCTTTCATAAAAGGTGTTCTATGGTGTCACACGCTATTATTCTTGCATAAAAGGTGTTCTATGGTGTGACATGGTGTCATCCTTTCATAAAAGGTGTTCTATGGTGTCACACGCTATTATTCTTGCATAAAAGGTGTTCTATGGTGTGACATGGTGTCATCCTTTCATAAAAGGTGTTCTATGGTGTGACACGCTATTATTCTTTCATAAAAGGTGTTCTATGGTGTGACATGGTGTTATCCTTTCACAAAAGGTGTTCTATGGTGTGACATGGTGCTCTGAGCAGTTTATTGTCACTTTGGACAAAGAAATGGAACATGGTGACCTCAGTGCATACTTGTGATTAGTGACACTACTGGCTCAGTCTGATTTCCATTCAGCATCATCTAGGAGTTATATAACTCAGAGGACAATTTTAGTCACAACTTTTCAAGTTATTTTTCCTTAAACCATTTTGATTTAAAAGGGCACAGTCTTATCCAGTTTTCCAAGCAAAGCAGGTTTAAAATATAGCATTAAATGAATGGCAAGATCAGCACCTGCTCTTCCTACCTTATTTTCTCTACAACCCGCGACCAAATAGGTGTGCGGTCAAATCCACACCAGTCAAATTAGCGTCGAGACGGGGAAAGCCGGGAAGACCACCGGCCGGGAATGCACAGACGCGAGCGCTGGGGTCCCCTATCCGCCCTCATGAGGGACAGCGCGGGTCCCACCGGCCGGGCCACGCTCCCTCCCCACGCCCACCTCCCGGTCCCTCCCAGGCTCAGGTCCGCTCTCTCGGGCCCCAAGGACAACTCTGCACCACCCGCGGCGCGGGCCCCTCCCGACACTGCACGGACCGCGGCCGCACCGCCCGGGGCCCGACCCGCCCCACCGGCCCCGAGCTCCACGGACCGGGGGCTGCGCGGACGCGGCTCCCAGCCTTCCCACCCCCGAGGAGCTGCGCTCGCCGAAGGGACGGGCATCGCCCTTACCGTGCGAGATGCGGCGAGTCCGCGCTGCCTCTGGCTACGAAACACCAGGGACGCAGAGGCGTGAGGAGGCGGCGGAAGCGGATGCGCAGGACCGCGGCGGAGCGGCGCTGAGCACTGCGCCCGCGGGCGGCGGGAGGGCGGTGAGAGTGCGGTGCGGTGCGGCGCGGCAGCGGGCACAGGAGCAAAACCGCTTCTTCTTCTTCTTCTTCTTCCTCCTCCTGTCCTGCCTCCTCCTCTTCTCTGCAGCCCGTCCTGCCTCCTCCGGTCTTATCTCCTCCTTCGTTACTCCTCCTACCTCTCCACTGCCACCGCCCCCCGCGCCGCCCCCCATGCTGTCGCTGTGTGCGGGCGCGGCTCGCAGGTAGGCGCGCGGGCAGGTGGCGGGGCCGCGGTGGCCGGGGCGGGAGCCGTGGCCGGTGCGGGGGGGTGCGGGGGTGGGTGCGGGGGGGGGGGGGGGGGAGAGGGGAGAGGGCGGGGGGGGGGGGGGGGGGGGGGGGGGGGCGGCAGCAGGGGCCGCCCGGCCCGGCTGGAAGCTGGGTCAGCCCGGAGCCGCTCCACGGCTGGTAGAAGGTTCTCGCTCCTCGCTCGAGGAGCCAGGCCTGAGCCCCGGGCCGAGGTGGAGCTGCCGCGGGAGTGCGGGGCGCGCTTCGAGGGGCCAGGCGGACAGTGGGGCAGGAAACCTGACTGCCTGTGAGGCTTATTGCCTCAGCTCCTGGTGCCATTCCCGCAGCCTGCCCTCCCTGCCGCGGGCTCCCTTATGCCCAGCTTCAAGGTGGGCAGGGTGGGCGCGGCGAGGCGAGGTCTCCTCTTGGTACTCTTTGCAGAGAGTCAGAATCACTGCAAGAGAAATCAGACAGAACACAATGGATTGAGGGATGCGGCTGTAGCAGCGGGGCTCTGCAGCAGGGTGTACGTGAAGCAAGACCGGCTCACAGTGTGCTCATAGTAGCTTTATAAAAAGGTGTGTCACTACTACACATTGTAGGACAGGCAAATCAGGTACCAATGTACCGTCAAAAGGCTTTAAAATAGGAGATTACTTATTTTCTTTATAATGAACACTAGCTCTAAACCCCAGAAACCCGGTGTGAAAGAAGGCTTGTAGTCAATTCTAGGCAGACTAGACAAATTAACATAATTGCTTTTATTTTGGCCTCTCTGTTTTTCTAAAGGACTGCATTTGATAGGAAGCACTGAAATAGTTGGAGGGTACGTTGTGGTAAAGAGAATGGAGCTGAATTTCAGCATGAAATGGAAAAGATGGTTGCCTCACATGGTCTTTTGAGAAATGATAGTCATGTGCTTACTGCACAAAGTGTACAGTTTTTGTCCTATTTCACAGCCTTTGTTAATTTCAAATTAGGATTGAGGGGTGTTAGCAGATAGAAAATAGGTTTCAGAATATTTTCTTTTCTTTCCTGCTCCTGCTGCTGTTGAAAATCAAGTGATTTATTTTCTGGTGCTAAATAAAGTGCACATCTATTTTCTTTTCCTAATTTACATTTACATTCCCTTTTTTTACCGTCATTTTCACTCTTTTCACTCTGTCTTTGTCTAATAGATTTTTCCAGCAAAAAGAACACAAGAAGGGTTTTTTAATTTTTTTATACAAAAGGTTTATCTTTGGTTGCAGTTTACAGCTGGACAATGAAGATACCTCCTTCTTAAGTAAAAATCAGTAAAATGGGGAATGGTTGCTGCACTTCATTATTTGTGATTTTTTTTTTTTTCTCAAGTCTGCATTTCAGTGTGCCCAAATAATTATTTCATGAAAGACAGTATTCTTGACAGTGTCATAGTGACCTCTCAACTTTCAAAAGTTAAGGAGCTTGTCACAGAAATCTTGAATAGGTTCTGTCCTAACTTCTATTTTTCCTGAGGGCATCTTAACACGACATAAAAATGACCGTTCTTAGCAAGTGTCAAGTACTATGCCTTATATTAAATAAAATGATGTTAGGGTTTGGTTCTTTTGGTTAAAATAGGCAGCTTTGCAGAAGGAGGCTTTTTCCAATTAATTTTTTTCCCGTTCAGATTCAAAAGATTTAAAGATGTACATTTAATGTGATAAAATACATGGAAAAAAACTGGCTAGATAATTAAGCATTGAAGTCTGATTAATTTATGAGGATACTCCTATATATGAAAAAAATAAAAGAAAACACACTGATTTAAGTAATTTTATTGTTCTAAAAAAATTCTTGAATTCATGAGTTCTGGGGTGTTTCTTTGAAAATCTTCAAAATTGGGTTTTGAGTATGAAAATCCATGTACATGAGTGAGACAGGTACCGACATACTGCACTATATACACAATATAATGAAAGAAAGTGGAAAGAAACTGTGAACACTGTCCTTTCTCTTGCTGAGGAAGAAAACCAGCAAGAAACTGAGGTTGGGAAAAGGCAGAAGGAGGAATGACACTGGGGGACAAAGAAATGGGAAGAACTTCTATAGTAATTTTCCTATTTCATACTTACAACAATAATATATCTGTTTCTTTCATTGAAGTATCAGGTCCAAGACCTCAGAAATGGCAAAGGCCAGACAAGACATTTGGGACATTTTTTGCCTTTCCCTGTGATCTGTGGACTGCACAAACTCTCCTGTGTATTGCAGCAGCAATTTTTCCTGTGGTCAAAAGCAACAGCTACCACCTTTCTAACCACAGCAGGCTTCTGAAGAGCAGTTTGTCTATTAGATGGAATTTACAGAACAAAATTATTTCCTGGACTGGGTGAGACAAAACTGTTGAGCTGGCAAGCATTTGTGAACTTTATTTGACCCATGGAGCACCAGTTAGACCATGCTAAACAATGTTGTTAATGTATTTTGAGGACATACCTGTTCTGTCATTCTCACTATAAAGCAAGAAAAGCCTGGCTTGGAAAGATTTCTTTAGAATAGTTTGGGTTACTTGGAAAGTCTAACCACTGTTCAGCAGGAGTCAGGATAAGGTACCTTAGAAAACATGTAAAATAATATGTACATCTAGTATTATCTTTTCAGAACAGTCTAGGAATTAGGGACTTCTAGCAAAAAACTGTTTTTTTCATATGATCTTCTATAAAAATCTGTCCAGGAATACCTTTTTATATTGAAACTGCCTCCTAAAACTCTTGCTGGTTATGTTGAAAGTTACAGGTTAAAAATTGATCCTTGTTCATTCTATCCATCCTCTTTATGATTATTTAGATATTTGGAATATTTCTTCAGTTGTGCTTTATTCTATGATTTTTTTTTCCCACTCCAAAGAATCCCAGTCTAGTTAGTATTTGTACTTTGAGTGGAGTCCATTGCTCAATGCAGCTGATTGTTTCTAAGCCTTCATTATTTCTAAGTCATCATGACTTGGTAGAACAGAAAAAGGTTTTAGCCAGTGGGAGAACAGAAGATGAGAGAGTTTAACTGTTCAGATGATCAGAAATGCATGTATTATGCATGTAGCATGAATTTCTGCACTTTGTTCTATTCCATCTCTACTAAATCCTATCATTTCTTTCTTTGCAGCTGCTTCTTTGTTGTTTTTTCTGTTGAACTGTTTTGTCTCCAGAATGATTAGATGTCTCACAACTCCTCCTGTGTATGTAAAGTCAGAAGTGTGTGACATTTATTAAGATTAAAATTCACTTTGTGTTAGTGGTTTTAAACTTTTCTGTGTTGTGACATTCTTTTTCATCTCTTTGTAGCTGCCTTTAGTACACTGCATTGTCATGGGTAAATAATCATTAGTAAATTTTGTGACTTTATTAATCCCAGCTTTTTGTAGATTATGTATAAAGACATGAAAGAATACAGAGCCCTGCATGGAACCTTCCAGACTTCCACAGGTCACACAGTTCCATTCAGAAAAATAAGCAGCCATTTTTACCAGCCTAATTTTTATAACCATTTACCTGCAAGAGGACCTACCTTCTCATCCCACAACAACATAGTTTCTTTAGGACCTTTTGGTCAATGATCTGTAGAAATAAAATAGATTATATTAACTGAACTATAGATTTTTGAGTCTGAATTTTTCTCTGAAGAGGAGACTCTTTTTTGGTAAATGTTGTCTGTGTTTAGAGAAGGTGAGGTGAGTATGGTGGTGGTTTTACTTGTTTCTGAGCAAAATATTACTGGGCACTTGTGTTTTTCGTACCATCTCTAACAGACACTTTTTATTTCTTCAGTGGAAAGTTAAATAAGCAAAGTTCTTTGCCATATTAATTGTTGTGAAACAATATTTCACATAACCTGTAACCAGCCTGTGAAGCACAGTGTTACTAAATCACTTTTCACTCAAAAGCCAGAGAAGAAAGCAGGCTCCATTTTCTTCCTAATTTGTGGTGTTGAGCAAGCTGTTTGGGATTTTGGAAGCACTGAAGTGAACATGGCATGTTCATAATGCACTGTCTGCCCAAGGAGATAGGAAGACTGATTTAAGGTGGTAAGCAAGTAAGGCAGAGTAGGTCATTATCTGCTGTGAAGACACAGAGTTTTTTGACTTGTTAGAGATGGCAAGGGAACATTTCTCATTGCTTTGACTGTATGAGACAAGATTAGTGAGAAGCCAAAGCATATTTCCATGGAAGGGGCTGTACTGATTAGCACTGGCTATCAATCAGAGAAAGCGTTTACAAACTCCCAGTATTTTTCTCTGTCCTGCAGTACCAGCTCTTTTACAGATAGAGTCAACAAGCTGTTTCTCATGCGTTAACTAGTTGCATTCAACTACTGAGCTATCCTGGGAGTGTGTTGTTTGCACTAAACAGCCTGCACTTGCTGTTTATGGCTCTCATGATGGAAATACACATGTTTATGCAGAAGCATCTGAGAGAGCTGTAGGACCTTAAAACCAATTTTTTTCCCACTGTGTTTCCACAATTGACCTGACAGTAGAACCAAACAATAAGACAACCTCAGTTAATGCCTTGTGCCTCAGACTCGTATAGTACAATTACTGTGTGCAAGTGTTGGTAAGAATATTCTTTCCCGAGATCGTGCAAGCGAGTTACTTTGGTGGAGGTTTGCTGTGACACGCAATGGATACAGTTCACAGAATGCTGTGGAACCTAAATTAGTAGTAGTAGTAATTTGTGGTTTGGTTTTTAGGGTATGTTGGGTTTTTTTTATTTGGTTCATTGGTTGTTGGGTTTTGTTCTGTTTTTTTCCCTAAAACCATGGATACCATAATTTTCGAGATCAGGCACTGCAGAAACCATACCCTAGCATTTCTGTGTGTTCTACTGCAGACTACTGTGTGGAAATCACCTCCTTATATGAAAGCCAATCAGACCAGTTTCCAAATTCCTTTTGTTTAAAGACTGTTGGAGGAAACAGGGAGAAGAAATAAGTAAGTTGTGTCATGTTTGAGTACACTGGTTTAGTTCCTACTTAAGGTCTGGGCTTTTTGTTAGCTGCCATAGAGCACCTTTTCAGTTAGTTTTCTGATGTTAATTCTGTTGGAAAACCAGTAAACATTTGTCAGATAGTAAAGTCATGAGCACTGAGGGTAATGAATGTATTAATAAAGGTTTTTAAAGGTTTGTATGACTTGTAGGTTTTTTTGACTTGCTCATTTAGACTGGAAGGGCTAAAAGTACAGTTAATGTTGACTGTACAGTGAACTCAGGTGCAGAGAATTTCTTTTTTCTGAAAGGTGTGAAAAAATTAAGGTTTACTGTCAAAAGCTGCTAGGTTTTCTGTTTCTTCAATGCAGCTTTAAAAATCAGTTTCTAATGGCCATTATGGGACTTAAAATTAGGAAGTACTAAACATGCTATCGTTTTGCTACAGTAAGATATGTCTGTGCCAAACACAGTTATGACACAGAGCCAAATACTTTTCCAAGGAAAATGGCCCAGGAATTCAAGGCATGTATTCACTGTTGCATATACTGTTAAGAGCCAGACAGATGAGAGGACTGAGAAGTGAAATGGAAAAAGGACTTCATATGTGTTTGTCTGGCAGGAAGAAGTGATATATTGAAGGGTTTTAGTTTCATTCCTTTGGCTTAGCTGAAATAATGTTGCCCTGTGATTAACTTTGAGCCATGTAACTCTGCTGGTTCTGTCTTGGATTTTTTTTTTCCCGTTGTTGTTTTACCCTGTACCACCCAGCTATCTTATTTTGGTTGATTTTGTCATTGCTTTTCTATAAGATACACAGTCAACACAGTCAGTTCTTGTCTAAAGTTGTGCATCAAAACTGAAAGTAATATGAAAGTATATTTTAAATTCAAGGAAAAACTAAGGATCTCTAAAAAATATGAATATTTTAGCCTGTTAAATTTTTATAAAGCTCATCATGTGAAACAGACCAATGTTACTGTACGTTTTATTAGATGCTGTTGAATTGACATTTGGTTTTGAAATCCTTTTTAATTTCATTTAATTTTTTTTTAATTCCATTTCATGTGTGGCTTGACTGTTAAAAAGTTTACTTAAACCATGCCTGTCTGCTGTCATTTCTATATATTTGGTACCATTTGACTCTGACTTCCAGAGAAATACTGATGTATGGCATGGTACTCAAGTACCAAATAGCTTGTCCTGAGGCAAACTGTCAGGTTTTATTATTGCCTATTATTAGTAGGGTGTGTCTAGTTTTTTGTTTTCATTTTGGTGAGGCCGCTAGGTGGAGTCAGAACCTTGAGCCCCTGTGGGTATTGATTTGCAGGTATCTAGTGGGTACAGTCTTCAGATACACAGTGCTGCTTTCCAGCATGCAGCACTGTTTCTCCTGCAGCCTGGAAGACCAGGAAGTGTTGTTTAGCTAAGATATGCTGTTTCAAAAAATAGAAAGACCAAAATGTTTCTCTCAAATTTGAACTCCAGCATTTTTCATACTGTATGTTGCTGATTGAAATAGTTGTTTATGGCATTAGTTGTGATTTGCAAATCCGATCTTACTCATATCCGTAGGAATGTCCTCTGAAGGTCCAGCAAGAAAGACTTAATTGTATTTATTTGTATTAAAATATTTAAGAACTTGACTAAATAATCTGAATTTGCTCTCTCTCTCTCTCTCACACACACACACAGCCCTCTGTCTTTCTCTCTTTTTGAAATCTTGGCTCTCACTTCACTTTCTGAAGCTGTTATTCTCTTTTGTCAGGAGACTATACAGTTTTCCATTCTGCATGAATCCAATGTACCCTGATTTTTGTGTGGCTACATGGAACTGTCAAATGTATTTGCGAGTACAATAAATTGGTCTGTATATATTTTTCCCAAAAATACGTTAGTTCATTTACTTCACTCTGTAAAATTATACTTGTCATTGTAACTAATACTGTTCAAGTGAAGATTAATTTGAAAACTGAAAGTGCCATTAAAAAGTCTTTGATGGAATTAAAACTATCATTTTGTAATCAGACTTAAATGGGATAGCAGGCTTAAATTTTGACTGTATTATATAATGATTCTCAGTAGTAGGAGCATCTTGGCTTTTGTCTGTATTTTCTAAAGCTGGTGCTGTGTCTCCCTGCTGCTTCTTCACAGATTGTGGCTTTCTTGTTTTATTTTAACAGTGTTAATGGAACATGCTAACAAAAGGCTGCTTGACACACATTTCAGTCATGGAAAATGTTTCTAAGCAAAACCAGACTTACATAAATGTTTAAGATATTGCGCAAGTTAAAAATAAGTCTGTAAATTCAATTGCATTGTTTGTCTTTGCAGCAGTTATGGTGGCCACTGTATTGCTGTAATGGAGTATTATAAAGGTTCTTCTCCTTTGTAAAATTAAATCAAATTTCTATTGTCCAGAAGCAGCAAGTAATCAAATTGTAGATTTTTTGGTGAAAGAAATTACCTGGCATTCTGCAATTATTGCAGCCTGCAATTTAGAAGCTTTGCTTTCTTCTTTAAAAACCTTTTTTAGAAGTAGCTACTAAGTTTTTAAGTGTTATTCAACTTACTCTGCTTTTGGTAGAAAATACCATTCTTAGTGCTTCTGAGATTGGCAGATTAGCTGGTTTCACAAATTATGTTTTCACCATAATTTGTAAAAACAGCTATGTCTGTAATAATCTTTGTTATAACTGAAAGTCCAAATGAAGCCTTTGTTCTGATGTTCTCCTAAATGGATGAAGCACTGCACAAATGCATAAAATATTTCAGTCAGCCCTGTATGTCATTCCATTGGCATTATTAGATGCCATGGGGATCACCCCAGAAAAAAGCCAGTGCAAGTTGTCAATAGAGGCCAGTTAGATATTTACTACAAAAATGCAATATAAATAAAGTTGTGTTAATTTTGACGGACCTGAAATGCAGGAACTGGAAGGGCATTTGGGGTGATCAAATGTAGTCCCATGCTACCTTAGGTAACCAAGTAACCTAATACATTTTATAAGCCAGTCAAGCACCATGTTATAAATAGACTTGCTGGGACTTAGTGGACATGTCTTTCAGAGTCTCACTGCTCTGATGCTTATATATGTCTGTTGCAATTCCAGCTTTCATGTATTCCTGACCAATTTAGTCTAATTTGTTCTTATGCCTGTATTGCCTCTTTGCATCAATAGCTCTTTTTACTTTAGGGCATTAAAGTGGTATGCTTAATGACAGCAATCATCTTGAGACTCTCTTTGCTAGACTAAATTCATGATTTTGTAAGTGTTTCTGGCAGTAGTGAAAATTTAGGTTGCTGCTGACACTTTTTACTTTACTGACATTTTGTTTAGGCCAACACAGCTGTTTTGAAGTCACTCATCAAAAGGGCAATTACCTGGCAAAAAGCTGTCACCCCTGGATGTTTTTGGTCCACTTTATTTTTCACTTATATGCTGTCCTGAATATTTTCTAAGTATGACTGTAGCCAACAGTTGTGCTGATGCCATTGATGGAGTGAAGTACAGAGGCAGAAATGAGCAACAGAGGAAGGAACACTGACAGAAATGTCTTAAGGCAGTGCTGTTGCTGGATGTGAGCCTTAACCCAGGCTTGTTCTCTAGTGTTCTGCTCTACACCAGAGAAAACTGAGTGTGATAGCTGAAACAGCTTGAACCAAACAGTTCAGGCATTAGCAACAGCCTATGCAAGGCAACATCTTTCCACCTAATTTAAACTGAATCAACTTTTGATTGCTCAGTGCAAGCAGTAGTTGGGCGTTCTGTAATGTTGGTGCTGTTTACCAAAAGCAAGTCTAAAATAATATTTGTACCTGCTTGGTTCAGTGTTTGAAGAAAACTCTTCGCTGTTGCATCTGGTTCTTAGAATTATTAATAGAACTTATATTCCAGTTATATATCTGGGAAGTTAAAGGTTCCCTCAGTGATACAATTTCATTTTTTGATCTGCATAAATGCCTGCATCTTCCTATCAACAGAACAAACAAGGTATCAGCATTTCAAAACTGGGCAGTCCTGTGTTTTCCTGTTTCTAACAGGTAGTGAACAACTTGCTGGTATTTATGCCAATAATTTTTACAGCTCTCAAATTTATAGGTATATGTCTTAATTAAGCTAACCAATATACTAAGAAAATTGGGTGGCATCTTTTTTCAGTATTTAAAAATAGTGTTTTCTGGTAATCTGAAACCCTACATTCCAGTTCATGAACTTCAGTTCAGTCCAACTTTAATTATTAATAAATCTTATTGCACACACTGAAATTGATGTAATATGTTGGTGCTGTGACTGTTTTAGTGTTTGCAGATATGCAGTTGGTCAGAGGCAGGGCTGTATTGTCTAAATTTCTAGGTGAAGATACTGAATGACTGAAAGCAATAGGTTCTCTTTAAAAATAATATCTCCTTAGTATCCTTCACTTTAGCATACTTTTTGTTACTCAGGCTGTTGTTTTCCTTTGACTCCACTTTACTTTTATTTTGACTTCGGTGTGAAACACTGTGTAGTCTTCCTCGTGTTCTTGGGTGTGGGTGGTGTGGGGTAGAGTTCAGAGCCATGAGCCTATTTCTGAGGAGCTTCCCTTTACCTCCCAAGAGGTTTTACCAGACCTTTGTAGCAATGTGTGAAAAACTAGATACAGGGCAGTCCACTGAGAATCTGTTTGTGACTTAATGAAGTACTGTTCTTTAATGGATTTGTAGATTCAGGGTGGATTTCAGTAGATTTTGGGGATGGGAAATGAATGCATTCTGAGAATCTTATTACTTAAGCTTTTGCTTTCATGACAGCAGCTTAATTTATCCTAAACTTTTATCTGAAAGTCAAAGTTTCAGTAGTCCAGTGGAGAAGTTACTAAAGCCCTAGTGCCAAAACTCAATTGGTATCAGAGAAGAAGAACAGAGGTGGAACAAACGTTCTTTATTCACACTTCATTTTCAAAGTGAAATTGTCAATAATCTGGACACAGATCTTCCTGTATGCCACTAAAGGGAAAAATAAACAACTTACCTACATCGGAATGGAAAGATCTGAAGAATCTGTAGTAATAAGGAAAATAAAGTTTCAACATAAAGCATAGGTAGAAATGTTGTCTTTTGTTTTTGTCTTGCATCAAATAATTTTGGTTAGGCTATTTCTGGAGAAATTCTGTTATAGAATTGTAAGACTTTTGACAAAAAGTTTTGCCTTCCTTCAAACAGAAGACCTGCATGCAGCCTTCTCAGTTTGTTGGCATTTCATTCTTCTGCTTTGTTATGCCTTCAGGCTAAAATTGGCTGTCTTTTATGCATGTTCCCTGCATTGTATGTCAAAACCTCTCTGTGCACTTTTGCACAGATTTTACAATAAAATCAATACAGGTACAAAGGCTAGTGTTAAGAGAAAAGGTTACTTAATGTAAAACAGTGTGAAGAAAACATCCCTTTATTAGCAAGATCTCTGTGTATTTCTTTAGTTATTGTTGAAAATTTTAAGTTGTCATTATTACCATAACAACATGTGATTTATTTTTTTTTAATTATGTAGCTGAAATAGGAAGACAGATACTAAGTCTCTGACAGTCATGGATCCTCCTGGTAGTATGATAGTAAAAAATGTAGCAAGTTTGACTACTTGAATGCAAGCTTGATTTTAAAGAAGCTGAAATACAGTTGATTAGAACTATAGTTGATAGATTATTAATACATAAATCATAGTAAAGGAATGTACCTCTTCTGGTAAAAGAGTGAAACTGCCTATTTAAAATCCAACACAATTGAAGGAATAAATTTGCAGATGAGTAGCAACTAGGTTTCCTCCCATGCTGATTATGTCGAAAAATCCTGCGTAAATATAAAATTATTTGCTATTATGAATACAATCAAGTGATGTTTTTATGTCTTATTTTGTGCAACTTTGCAGTTATTGTTCTTTGTCATCTACAAATCACTATGTGGGTTTTATTCTTTACTTCAAAAATGTTGGTACTATCTATTTCTGTAGAGTTCCAGTAACTGCAGTGCTGTTTTCCTTAGAAGATTGAGTCATAATTTAATCTGTATGGTTTTGTCAATACCAAATTTTTTGTCCCTGTTTGCACTTAGTCATACTCTAAATAAAAAAGATAGAAGACAGATTTATTTTAAAATTGGACTTAATTGATAAAGATAACAGCTCTAAAAAAGACTTTGTTCCTCCTTCTAAAAATATTCTGATGCTGGTTTTTTAATGTTTACTGTAAAGTGTCTCTTGAACTGGAATCTTGCTATGTAAAGATAATTTTTATACTTTCAGGTCCATTGGGCCACGGCTTGTGTTGAGAATGACATTAGGAGCAGAAATTACTAGCCAGCTCAAGGCTTCTTCATACATAGCAGCAGGGCGAAACCTTTTGAGATGGGACCTGTCACCAGAGGAAATTAGAACAAGAACAGAAGAACTTATCAGGAAGACAAAACATGTATATGACAGCATTGGGATGCTTGAAATTGAAGAAGTAACACATGAAAATACCATACGGGCTTTGGCAGATATAGAAGTGGAATATGCAGGTTAGCATGTGTTTTCTATATTTCTTTGCATAAGGCATTCCATCTGCACATAAGGAAGCACTGAGAAGAAATAGTTGTTGCTCCCAATTTTGATCCCTGCTGTTCTTGTGTGGAATGTCTAGAGGCCTCTCAAGAGTCCATAATCTTTCAGGACCTCCCGGAGGCCTGCATTAGTCACCTGTTTTGGTTTTGCATGTAAAATGCCACACAGTTACATTTCCAGCCCTGTGCAGCTGCCAGGGGACACTGCAGCAGTGAGGGCTGCAGTGTCTGTGGTATGTGTCGTGCATTACACGTGGTAAGCAGTGCTTTTTTCAGACACTGCAGATCTGACACAAGCAAGTTGAATGGAGTAATGGAAACGTTGATAAACTGCTAGGGGAGAAAATGTGATGATGAGGAAATTTTGAATGTGCTATTGAAAGAAGACTTCTTTACTTGGCTCACATTTAAATTGTGGCCTCTGAGGTCTTGAAAAATCCAGGGAGATATTGGTCATGCAGTCACATCTAGATTAGTCTGAATGAATTATCAAGCCATACCAATATGTGGGTGGGTTTTAATGGCCAAACACAGGTCATTCCATTAATTTGGTAATAATTGTCAAAGGAGATAAGTAGAATACAAACTGCATATTGCATATCTTCATTGAGAAAGACCTTTCAGGTGGTGGCAGCATTATTTATAAAACAGTGTGTGTAATAGATGTCAAATACTTTTAATACTCTAAGAAAATGTACATTAGCCACACAGGTGCTAGAAACAGCCACCTTGGCTGGGAGGAAAATCTTTGACTAGCAAAAAAGCACAGTTGGCGTCTCAAATGATTATACTGTAATATTAGTCTGGATTTCACATTACTTTAAATTGCGCATACAGTGAATTGGCTGGAATTTATTCTGGCATACTCAGAAAGACAGTAATTTTCAAAAAAAAGCCTGCTGCCAGCTTCAGTGTTAGTTATACCAAAATACCAATTTGGTATAATTATTGTAAATCTTTTCACCACAAAGATTTACAGAAGGAAAATCTGTGTTTGACTCAGAAAACATTGGTCATCAGCTTTTCAGCACAGCCACCAAGACTTGATGGAAGTTGCACGTTTTTCACTACGTACTATTGCAATAGTGGGTCACATTTAAGTTTTTAATGCTAATCTTCAAAGCTGTATATGAAATTATCATGACCTGCTGTGAAACAGCCCATGGCATCTGAGAGGGATGTATTACCACAGCAAGACTTCCAAAAGAAACTTGGAATTTAAGATCTGTGTGTTCTTTTCACATAAAGACCTACCTCAGTAACTACAGCTCATTATCCAAAAAGACAGAGATGACAATAGACTTTAAATTACACTTGGAAGCTGCCAAAACTCAGTTTATAGTTTTGAAACATCTTTGCATAAGGGCAGGAGGCGAAGGGGCAAATTTCCTATGAACTTCAAGAAGAATCACATGCCCATGGTTGCATTTCTGACTCTGTCTCAGAGATTGATAAAATGACTGCATATCACATAAAATTACAAAGCTTTAAATCAACCTAATATGTTGTTACTCTAAAATCTACTTTTTGAAAGGTAGATGGTAGAGACATTGTAATTTGATTTTCATTTAAGAGATTCATTTGTATTTTAGGATTTCTATTCAATGTCATTGTAAGATGTAATATTCCCTTAATAGCAAGGATTTACTTAATCTCAAAAGTATATTCTAAAAAAGTAGTATTACTCAGCTTCCAATCTCTAGAAGTTCAGAATCCACAGACAGCATCTTCCCTGTTTGCCATGTTATTTCTTCTTAAACACAGAAGAGTGCAGTACATGGGGATTTGACACTGTGCTCATGACAATGTAAAAATAACTTCAGGACAGATGGGCATATTTGAAACATTCAGAGCTTCTGACTTTAAATGCTAACATGGAAGCATCTGTGTCAGCTATGAAACGTCAGTCTTCACTTACATGACTTTTGGAAGATGAAGCATTTCTAATGTTTTTATATACCATTCAGCTGATTTTGTAGAAGATGATGAGATAATTAGGCTTGGGGTTTATAAATCTTCTATAGATATTTATGTGTTATAATGGTGTGGTTTTGTCCTTCCTTTATATTACATGTAATCACTTTATTTGCTATATGTGTCAGGTTGCTTTGGATACTTTTATCTTATGTCTTTTATAAATGACAGAAGAGGGAAAGCTCCTTATCCTGAAAGCATGTCTATCCTTCTGTATTCATTGCCTCTTATTTAAACAGTGGAAAGAAGCATGTTGGATTTTCCCCAGCACGTCTCCCCTGACAAAGAGATACGCTTAGCAAGTACAGAAGCTGACAAAAAACTGTCAAATTTTGATGTGGAGATGAGCATGAGAGAAGACGTGTTTCAGAAGATTGTTTATTTACAGGTAAATAACAATATGTCTGCATAAGTTGTGACATTTATCTAAATTTATCTAAAATTATTTGGCATACACAATGCTTTTCAAAATAACTTTATGTTTCCTCTGTGTCTGTGCCACTCAAATCTTTCCAGTGGGACACTGCTGTACATCAGAAAACACTGTATCGTGCTGTTCCTACTCTTTGCCTCTCATATCTAGATCTGTGTATCCTTCTCTCTCCATTGCAATGCTTGCTCTCCAATGCAAAGCTTTGACTTTTGTCTAGTCTTCCAAAGAACTGATACAAGGAATCTAAACTAAAAGAGGCAAACCTATTAGGAAAAAATTTTTTGTTATCTACTGGCTGAGCTTGTTCCAAGAGGGAGGGAAGAAAAGAGGGAGTACAGCACTTACATTATCTTATATTGCTTTTGAATTTGTGTCCAAAATTCTGCTTTATTAAAAAAGTTGAGAATTTTAAATTTAAAAGTTGTTTTAAGTTACGTAGGTTAATGAGAACATATAAACGGTATTGACCTCTGAAATTACCTCTTTTGATCAGCTAGTTATAGACAATTATATTCTATCCTCTTCTTCATCTGTTTCTTCAGCCTCAAAATAAAACTATGTTAAAAGATGCATTTAGTGTTGAACCAGCTTCTGTCCTTTTTGTGTTTCTATTTAGCTTCTCTTTTAATTAATCACCTATAGGTATCTCATATTCTTTGTTTGTACTGCTTATTTTGTAGCTCAAAGAAAGAATATTTGGTTATATCAGAAAGAATATTTGATTTTGTTCCAATATGTCTGGTGATGTTTAGTAATAATTTTCTTATAAGTGTAATGGATAATGCAAGGATGCTATCTAATGTGATAACAAAAAAATATATGTTTTTCTATGTTTTATATGTGATTTTTTCCTCTCAACCCCACTGATTTTTAATCTTCTTGTAACGCTCATAAAATACTGGAGCCCTGTTTCTTGGAGTCACCATTTTGTTTTTTTCAGGCTTGAGCGGGAATTAGGATAGTACTTGCAGAGCCATACTAAATTGCCTTCCGTTACCATTCCCTTCTTTTGCTGTGTTTTCCAGGGAAATTTTCAAGTGTTCTCCTTGAGCTGGATATTCTTGCTACATATTTGTGGAAGTATATAATAACCTATTCTGAGTATGTTCTGTGGTGTGTTGGCAGATGGTGCCTTGTGTTGATTTTTTTCTCTTCTGTATTTTATGTTGATTTTTTCTTCTTCCCCTCTCTGTTGCTAGTAATTAAATGGCTTGATTTGTATGTAATATCTACTGTGATTTTCCCCACCCTCCACTGGAGAATGCACAGATACACTGATGACTAACCTAACATATCTCTGTATCTCTCTATTTTTAATTTACAGGACTGTCTGACAGTAGGTAGTGAAAACTGATTGCTGTTACTCACTACTATTACTCTCTTAATTTTTTTTTTCATTTGGTGTTTTCTTATTTCACTTTCCCTTGCAGCAGTCTTTGACCTTTATAACAGTTAGAATTTTTGCTTAAGTCTCCGTTTAAGTTTTTTAGAAATTTTTCTTAACTGCAGCATGCAAGCATGTTTTAACATTAGTTTGCCAGAGATGCAACTTCTGAGTATATATCCACTTCTAATAACTGTTAAACTAGTAAGAGTTTTGCTCTCAATCAAACATGAAATTTCCAGTAGTGCCAGACTGGTCAAATACTTGTATTTCCAAATCATAAAGTTATTGTAAATTTTTGCTAAATTTCTAACACCTCCTCCTGTTAGAAACTCTCAGTTAAAAAGTCAGGCTCCAAGAACATGAATAAAGAACTTCCACAAACAGAATTCAGATTTCGGCTGAAATTATTCACCAATTTCAAAAAAGCAGTAAACAATTGGATTAAATCAGGCTTATCATGGCCTCACTGGTGATTTAATAATTCAGGTAGATTAATTTATTTTCATGATCTTTCAGGGGGCCAGATTATATTGGGGTGAGGAGAATGAGGGGCCCTCACACTTCCATGTTATTTATAACACAACATACTAAGAGATGAGCAAATCTGCTTGACCTCAGTGACTTGCAGAATGCTTTAGCTCCCCTTAACGGGGACTAAAGTTTTCTGAGTTAACAACAGTACTCCTTCTAAATTATGCTTAATTTAAGAGCTGTTGGTGGAGGAAAATGATTGAGGTTTTTACATTTAATTCAAGAAACTATTAAAATAATATAGTTACTTTCTTTTCCCCACACATTAGGGGGGAAAATTTCTTCATAAAATTACACTTTTGAATATGCTCCATATTTTATTCTTTGAAAAACTTGTATTTTGAGATTTGAAACTTGGAATAAAGGTGAATTTGGTAGTGAAACTATAATTTTAAATTTTGTAACACCTAACATGTGCACATGCTGACTAGTAGAGGCATGCTTAAGAATGTTGCCAGTCTGCTCCACCCACATGCCCTCAGGAGAGCCTGATGTAAAGAGCTGCTTCAGGTTTTGTTTGTGAAATTCTAAGTAGGCTTTGTTTCTTACTCTGTCTGAAGGTTTCTTCCTGGAATAAATTAGCAAGGTTCTCCAAAACAACTATGAAATGGTATATAAAATCCTCAACCATGACAATTCTGAAAGTTCTGAGAGTTCCAAAATTTCATGTGTGCAGTACTTTCAAGATGATGGTCCTTGTTGGTCCCTTCCAACTCAGAATTTTCTGTGATACTGTTTTATTTTTGTCACTGAAGCTTGGTTCTGGAGAAGACAAATATGCTCAAATTTTATGCCATCTGATGTCCCAAAGTGACACTTCTAATCTTTTGGGGTTTTTCTTCAATCCTCAGACTTTTAGGGTACAGTGTTATAGCACTAATTTTCTTCAACTATGTAAATGAAAACTATCTCTACAGAAGAAGCTTAAGTGCACTATACTGTAAACTGAAAGGGCTTACCATTATGACAGCATGTAAATGTGCTGAGACACTTGGTAAAAGAATATTATTTTTAAAGCATTCTATATTAATATAAGAATATTATTGTGTAAGGTAACTGTTTTGGTGGAGTTCTTCACATTAAAATCCAGGATGTTCCCTTTTTTAATATGACCGTGTTCTCAAGAGCAACTCTGTTGAAACCCTTCTAATGCTTGAATATTATAAATTCAATTATTGTATACTGTCATTTCAGCAAACCTGTGATCTTGAAAATGTGAAGCCTGAAACAAAGCGATATCTAGAGAAATCTGTTCAAGTGGGGAGAAGAAACGGACTCCATCTTCCTAAAGAAGTGCGGAAAGTAAATATGGACTATTTTTTTATAAAATAACATTACCAACAGTTGAAGGGATGAGTTTATGGTTAGTTAGGTGTACTAAGCATATATTTGAACTTCATGCTTTTGGATCTGCTGAATTACTGCTCTAATCTTAACTCTTCTTACTTCCAGATACTTACATCCTTTAAACTTCAATTACTTGAAGGTTTTTAAACTAATTTGATAGACATCCATGATACACAGTAGATAGAGGTAGTCTGCATCACTTCATAGCCTTGAGACTAAAAGAAGCCTCGCTGAAAAAGTTGTGTTATATATTACGATTGTAGAAAGTGCCTAAATTAGATTCCTAGGGAAGATAACTCTCAAAAAGGCTACTAGTGAGTCTGCACTTCTATTCAAAAGTATGTATAACTGTTGCAATCACTCAGCTACACTAGTTTCAGTTAACCGATGTTGTAAAATGTGTCTAAGATTTTAGACCTGAAAAAAAATCAAAATAACTTAGAGGAGAAAACAACCCGCTCTGTGAATTTTTCTTCATTAAGGGAGAAGTGACTTAGAAAGCAATTGTCAGACAATCAGGAAGTAAAATTGTCAATATCTGAGATGCTGTGGCATCCCATCCTTAATGGCCAGGCAGCACCCAAGATTCATACAGATGCTTGTGGCTGAAAGGAACAACAAAATCAGAGGGTCTGCAAAAGCTTACAAACTTTGATTAGTAAATTATATACTTGGTATGGAAATTGGCACGTTAGTCCCTGACCTAGCATAGGAGTGGGTTTTGGATAAAAGGGATAGAGTGAAGGGGAAAAGACAGTGAGATAAATTAGTTGAAGAGGGGAAGAGAGAAAGAAGAAAGGGAGTGAGATTCATGCCTCCAGCATCAATACAGCTGCCTGGGTGTCCAGAGTCCTAGGGGCACTGCCTTGGCCTCAATGGGGGTACTGTTTTATAGACAAGCTTTTCTTGCCCTGGAGAAAAGTTTTGCACTTTCTATGTAAATTAGTTGTCATGCACAATCTGTTCTTTACACTGTGCTGGAAACAGGTTCAGAGGGCTTTGGGTCTTTGGTGGTCTTGTTCCCCCCATAGAATCTGTGCCTGCTTCTCCACCTCATTTCTCTGTGCTCTACTGAACTGTGCTTATCTCCAGGAGGTAGATCAAAGACCTCTGTCCCAGAGGAGTGCTGTCCTACCTCTGTGTGGCCCTTTGTCCAGTCACATCTTGTTCTTTTTCACAGCATGTTATTGCCAACAGTCCTTGGCTGCTGTTACCTAAAGTCCTTGGTTGGTGCCACAGCCACCCTGCTATTGGTGTTTCAGACATACACACTAGCTCTTATCTTTTGGGATTCTACAGATGCCAGCACAGTTATCTTCAAATTCTGAGTGATATTTCTGACTATATTATGACCTTTATTTCTGACTGTTGAATAGACTTAACCCTTTGTAGAAAATAATCAATCTTCATCCACATCCTTCTGCTAGTGAGAGTAGTTTGAAGTGTATTTTCATATAACTGATGCCTCAAAAGGTATTTTGAAATTCCTTGGGGAACAATAGTTGAAATACATTCAGTTTTTTATTTGGTGTGCATTCTCTTACTTGTAACTACTATGTTTATTTGAACTTGACAATAACATGTAGAAACTTGCTATGAGATATATTAGAAAATGTTTCAGAAGTAGGACTACCAGGGTTTTACAACAGGTTTTAGAATGGCTTTGTCTTGTGAGAGCAGCTGCTTTTTTCTGTCATACCATACCTGTACAATTCCAAAACAGTGTTTTTGAGTAAGTTGCATGCTTTTTAACTCCCTTCATTCTCATTGATCTCAGTGGATATTTTTACACATAAAATTGTAATTTAGCTGTTCAAATAAAAGAAAATATTTTAATTTTGGCACGTGAAACTGTTTAGTGAATCTGTTTAATCTCTTTAGTCCTCTCTAAGCTCAGTTTAAAATGTTGAAGGGATAGCCCTTGGTCACAATATCGCTCAGGACTGAAAGAAACATAAAAGGAAGACTGACAGGGTGTGAAGTATGATGCTACCTGCAATGTATTATTTGCTCAGTCCTGGTATTTATTGTTGGTTAGTAAAGAGTCTGTCTGAAAAAAATGAAATGTTATTCATGTGGAAGATAAAAATTGCCAGCTTTGATTTTTGTTTTTCCACTAAGTTCACTTTATACCCAATACAGGAAATAAAGACAATGAAGAAAAAAATGAATGAGCTGTGTATAGACTTCAACAAAAACCTGAATGAGGAAAACACATTTCTTGTATTTTCTAAGGAAGAACTTGGTGAGTAGGGTTTGCTGTTTCTGTTTTTTCAACCTTCCAGTTTTACTGGAGTAACTGATTTTTGCCCCATGCATGATGGTTAGATCAAGTGAAATTCTGACTGTTTCTCAGTCTTTTCTGTTTCCTTTTTAGTCCTCCAGAATCAATTCAGAGTTATCTTTTGCAGGTGTTCCTGATGTCTTCATATATTTGTGCTTCCTGAGGTTTTTGCCTTGCATCAAGGTCCTGCTTCCTTTAGCATGACTTTACTCTGTTCCTTTTCTCAATTATCATCAAGCAATCACCTGTGTAATTATTGGAAAAGCTTTTTTAGTCCTGTAATAAAGTTTAACTAATTCAGTAATTTAAACCAAGCTAGAGATTTCATGTGACAGAGAATTTGGGGATTCATTATCTAAAGGCATCACATAAAATATGCTCTAATAACAGAGATTTTTTTTATGGTATTCAGTTTTTATCTGGTGGCCTTACGTGTATTTCTCATTTGCTCTCAAGTGTTTCCAAATTTTGCTTTGCTTGGTGGAATTCGTAAAAGTTTTAGCAAATTGTAAAAAAGGAGGCATATTTCTGTGGAGATTTCTGATCTCAAAGTGGATTGCAGCAAAACAAATGGCAACAGTCTCACAAAAACGGGGGAGTAGATAATTTTGGTAAATATCATTTATTAAATTGTGTTCTATAGATGGCCTTCCTGATGACTTTATTAACAGTTTAGAGAAGACTGAGAAAGACAAATATAAAGTTACCCTAAAGTATCCCCACTATTTTCCTGTTATGAAGAAGTGCTGCGTTTCAGAAACCAGGAGAAAAATGGAATCTGCCTTTAACTCAAGATGCAAAGAGGTATGTTGTGTACTGGCTGTTCTACAGTGCAGTGACAGAGTTGAAAAATCGAGCTAGACATTCAAATGTTCGGTTTGAGCTTTGCACATTGTAGAGTATTTTGAAATCAAAACTTACCAGCATGTTCTTTAACAGTGCCTTGCTCCAATTTATTCTGATATCCTTCTGAGACCTTAGAAGTTGACAGTCTGCCTCTGTGTGCATATCTTAATGTTCAAGTGGTTCTGTTAAAAGAAGTGGGATCTTGATTTTCTGTGAAATTTCCCTACAGTGTTCTGCAGATGCTTATGGACACTTCCCTCACAGAAAAGGATGTCTGATTGTGACTTCTGTAGTCCTTTGAGATTTTTCAGAATAGAGAGGGGTTATTTAAGCACAGGTTTTAATTATAAATACAGATGGTCAAATGTGAAATCAACAGATTGCATATGTGCACAACTAGACAGGTACAAAATTTTAAAAGCCTTGAAAGATAGAGGATATGTCATTCAGACAATTGTACCAACCATGCATTAGAGAGCAATAGCAGAGTTGAGATTTTGTGCTTGAAATACTTGGAAATGTGATGAGTACAAGATAAAATGGCACCAGGAACTGACCACTTTGCAAGTCAACATGCATAAAGAGATTTCTTGATAAAACTGTGTGACAATCTTTGAATCTAGTGTTTAATTTTTTTTCCCCAAACAAATCTCACTTTTCCAGAGCTGAAGGTTTACATATGCTTTCAGGTTGTTGAGGATTCTTTAAGACATTTAAGTCAAGTTCTGGGGTTTTCTGTTTCAGATCTTTCTCTGACTACTGTTGTTAGAGTGGAAAAAGAGGAAAATTTGCAAACCAGCTTTGGATGTTGGCACAATAATTAGCAATCTGTCTTCATCACTAACAAGCAATTAAGCCTGCTGCCAGCAATTTCCTTATTGTCTTTCACATGTAAATGATTGATAAAGGAAATAAGCTCTTCACAACCTGAAAGAAAATGGTGTATATTTTGATCAAATAAAAAAGATAAGTTGTAATAATAAGGAGAGTAATGAATCAGGTCGACTAGGAAACCAGCTACCTGCAAACACCAAGAAGAAGTATTCCAAGAATCTTAGGTTATATTATATTTTAAATCTGAAAGTGTTTAATTTGAAATATTTTCTATTTCTTAGGATTACAGATATTATTGAGGTAATTGTTTGTTAACATGTGTTTTCTGATTTCATTTTACAAATTTGCCTACTTTCTTTTTTAGGAGAACACAAAAATTCTGCAGCAGTTGCTTCCACTAAGGGCAAAAGTAGCAGAGCTTCTTGGTTACAACACACATGCCAACTTTGTCCTGGAGGTAAACACTGCCAAGACCACAGATAACGTAGCAACCTTCTTAGGTTTGTTCACATTTATAAGCAATACTTGTATATTTAATGTAGTAATATGTCCCCTCAGCCAAGATGAATTTAAATACATAACTGGGTCACAGCACCCATGACATTTAGCCAGAAAAGGAACTCTGCTGCCTCTGTTCTGGCATATATATTTTTTAGATTATAGCTATACAAATGAAATTGTTCCAAATCAGGAAGCACAAGGCAAATTGTGAGATTATTAAGGTTTAATCACTTGCTTATATTGGCTGTCACAAATTCTTTGTGACAGCCAGCATAAGCAAGTGATTAAACCTTTCTCTGCCCCAAAATGCAGTTACCCTAATTTAGAACCAGAGTAAAATGTGCAGCTTAAGCAATTTTATCAGTTCAAAAGGCTGCATCAGAACTGCATCTTTTCATTCCCAATTTTTTGTGAATCAGTAGCCTTGGTGTCTTTTTGGTGTATGACATGGTGCAACTTCCATGAGCTGAATTAAAAAATTATATCTGGATTAAAGGATTAAATCTGGAATTCAAAAGCCCTGTAATGGAATTTGATCTGAAAATAGAGGTATCTTGAAAATTTTAAACACAGCTGTTTATGAATGAATTTAGAGTCCTCCTGTCATTGTCAGTGCACTCTTGGATGTAGAGTTCTGGTAGCTCCATTGAATATGTGTTCCTTTATTACTGTGTCCTAACACAACTTAGGAGTGTATATTGATGTATCATACAAGTAACCCCCCCAAGGAAATTAGCACAAAAATGAGGTATGTTTGCTGGTAGCAGGGTGTTTATGCTTCAGTAAAGAGGTTCAAATGCTCCTCTTTCTAAACCCATAATTCTGTTGCATTTCTCCTAAATGCTCAATTATCAGATCAGATCCATATTTGGCAATACCAGTTTTCAGTATACTTGACAATTAACAAATACTTTGTTTTGATTTTTTATTAAATGTTAGGGGTTTTAAGTGTACTTGAAGTATTTTAGACTTTCTTTGTCCATTATATTATTGTAATACTGTGTTTTTTCATTTATTTTGAAGCTGACACACATAAGTTAGCATATCATGCATCATGGTAATTCTCACAGAGGGAGAACATGCATCAAATTAATTGTCACTTTTTATTTGCTTCTTTTGATATATCCTCAGCTACCAGCATGACATTGTGTTTTGCTCTACTTTATTCCTATCTAATCATGTTTTAAATCAAGTGTTCATAAGCTGATCTTACATCTAGGAAGAAGAGCATTCTCTCCTATGACATATTCTGAATTTAGCACAGTACAAGCTGCAAACAGTATTTCAATCATGCAAATGCATTTAGTGTGTTACAGCCTTCCTAGAAACAGAAGTGGCAATTCCCAAATTTTACACTGTAGATATCAACAATGAACATTGCTTTCTTAATGAAGAAAAAAGTTTCTGATAAACCAGAAATATTTACAAGAGAATAAGTTCAGAATGTACTGTATGGAAGTGTCAGTAAGCTTAAATATTTTATATTAAATATGTCTGCTGCCAAGGAAAGTCTATTGGAAATAATTTGAATCATAGACTTTAATACCCAGAAGCTTTGCTAGTGTAGAATCCAGACATCATATAGGCAAGAATTCTTGGGTCTCTTGGATCTTTTACAGAATTTTAGCTAGAAGTATTGAATTTTGTGTTGCACTTCCTTCCAGTAACTAACAATAGTTCTAGTCTTTGACTGTTGCTGAAGAAATGTATGAGGAATACTGAGATTACATGACATAAAATCAAAGCATTCAAACATAAATATTTAGTGTTACTTTTCGTTTATGATGTCTTGGAAAAAGTCTAAATTCAACTAACCCTTCACACCACTCTTTGGCCTACATGGAATCTACTGTATCATTTATAGCATTTAGGACAAGAAAGCAGATGTTGCTTGTTGTTGGTGAATGAATGGGAAACACCCACTTCTGGAGTATGTGCTTGAAGTGTAGAGTGCATTTTATAGGAATAGATAAGGAACATGGAAGTTGACTCTAAGCCAATCTTTCTTTCAGATGATTTGAGTAAAAAGCTAAAGCCTTTGGCTGAGGAAGAAAGTCAATTCATTCTAGAACTGAAGAAGGAGGAATGTAAAGAAAGAAACTTTGATTATGATGGAAGAATCAATGCATGGGATCTTCATTATTATATGAGCAAAACTGAAGAGCTGAAGTACTCCATAGATCAGGAAAAACTGAAGGAATACTTCCCAATTGAGGCTGTTACAGAAGGCTTACTGAATATTTACCAGAAGCTGCTGGGACTTGAATTTGAGCAAATAGAAAGTGCTCATGTTTGGCACGACAGTGTTACTCTTTATACAGTAAAGGATAAATCAACAGGAGAAATGCTAGGGCAGTTCTATTTGGATCTTTACCCCAGGTAATGACTTAGTGTTTTGCTTACGTGTTTAAAATGGAATTTATCTTAATATTTGCTGCTTGTCTAATTAAAATTTAATGCATTTGGAAGTAAATATTTGTTCCACTGACAAGATTAATATCGTGTTTATTAAGTTGTCCTCTGGACTGTATTCAGATTTTTTTACACTTTTTTTTTTTAAGTACTTCCATATTTCTTCCATAAATTCATTTTTATGAAGCCTTGCTACTTCATTCACATTTTTGGTAGTATTGCTCTCTAGTCAGTTGTCCATAATTTTTTGCATCTATGAACTTTTCTCCGTCCTAGCTTACTACTGGGTTTTAGTTTTCTAAACTGGAGGTAAAATTCCTGTTTAAGTGTTACTGCAGTTTGTTGCTCAGATCAATTATATTTCTGTCTGCTAAGGTTCCTAGTTTCTCCTAGTTCCTCTTTACACTTTATGTGTATTTTCTACCCTGTTGTCCAGACATCTGAATCAAATAGATCAATACCAAGAATAGGTTGGTGTTGAGCACACATTCAGATTTACTTCCATGTTGATCTCTGTAGCTCTCCAGCTGTCTTTGTAGCTATTTACAGTATCATCTGTGTTTTCTCAAAGATTAGGAGACTCAACTGGTTTGACAGGATTTATTCTGGGCTAGTCCTTTTTGGCTACTTGTCACTACTTTTTTTTTTTGCTCTGGTGTAGGGTTTTTTAGATTAGTATTTATCATGTGATAAATTTGCTGACATTCTTTTTAATGTAAGTTGATTTAATGTTTTCTGGCCTAAGAAAATTAGGCTACTCAATATATATAGTAGTAAATAAGTTTTTCTTTTTAGGGTAACATACCTATCTCCTTCACCTGTTTGCCTGCTTCCACCTTTATGTATATCATGCAAATTGCTGAGGAAATGTGTCAATAAGACTCCTCTGACCTAATCTGAGTAGTTAACTGAATAGTTTAGGGCAAAATTTTCAAAATAATTTTTCTTTAAACTCTTGCATCACAGTGAAAATGCTGTTTACTGTATTCTTTTACCTCCTATAATAAAAAAAATTGCATCAGTGAACAGAATCTAGTTCTTCCTGTTGCAGTAGCAGTTTAAAACACAACTGGCATCTGAAGTATATATACTTTCAGCTTTTCAGTTAAAAACAGGTTCTTTTAAATGCTGCTGGAAATATTGAAATGTTGTGATTTCAGTATGAGAGTAGAAGGAGCTTTTTTCCTCTTATGCTCTTAAGTTATTGAGTCTTAGAAGTCATGAGAACATGTACATTTTTGTGTAAAACTTTGTGTAGAGAAACTGACTGATTGTCCCTGTTCTTGAACAGGCTTCACCATTTGGTGAGCAAGTTTGTGGTTTGAAGATGGTATCTGATGTATTTTCTTACACAGAGAGGGAAAGTATGGGCATGCAGCCTGCTTTGGTCTACAACCCGGCTGTCTTCTCTCTGACGGCAGCAGATTGATGTCTGTAGCTGCTCTGGTCACCAACTTCACAAAGCCAGTGTCGGATCGACCATCATTGCTGCGACACGATGAAGTAAAGACTTACTTCCATGAATTTGGTCACGTAATGCATCAGATATGTGCACAGGTTAGTGATGTTTCTACTCCACTGTAAGACTTATTTCTTTCTCAACTGTCTCAAAGCAAGGTATAGTTCTGTTTTGATGGTTTCTATTTTAGTAAAGCACATATGCAGAGTTCTGGTTATTTTTTTGAAAAAATAGGTTGGTTTTAGTTTTAATATTTTTTTAAAACTGAAGCAATAAATACACCTTTTTACGAAAAACATTTTTGTAGGAACATGTACTTTTGCATTTGCATTGTGCAGGAGTCCATTCATCACAGGTACAGGTACAGTGAAGATGTTCAGTCATGGCTTTGTTCAGACGGCTTTTTATTACTTCTAGTTTTGTAGATGTATGGCATTAGAAACCAAGTATTAGAAACAAAACAATGCTGCTATACCTAGGAATGAAAATAATTTCTGAAGCTAGTTGACCTGCAGCATTTTGGCATCTAGTACTGTTGAGACCTATCTCTCTTGACATCACAAGCATAAAACAGGTCTTGCCTAAGCTATTTTATTTTTTCCTATCTGACAGGTTAGGTTTATTGCAGTGACCAGAAATAACTGAAGGTAGTTTCAGATTTTCCATCAAGGTACCAATAAAGTTTTAAAATTTCTGTTTTCATTTTTACTTACATGTAAAATTGATACTGCCAAATGATACATTTATTATTCACCTAGTGAAATTTTTATATTTCAGAAAGAGATGAGATTCAGTATTCACACACCAAAAAATTCACATAGTTAATTACAAAATCAGATTTTCTGTAGCATTTCCTTCATCTTCTGTATAAACAAATACAAAATAATAAAGTCAAGGAAAATTTACCTATATTAGATTTTAATTCTTGACCATGATCCTAGAGACTGGGACTGCAGAATAAAGAATAACGTCATCACAGAAATCCATATATTACATCCAGAGTTAATAATTGCTTAGATATTTTTTAATCATCTTAAAGGTAGAAATATAATTATTATTTTATCAACCCTTTGATAGGTGTTTCTGATATCAAAAACTGAGGAATAAAACCTAGGCAATATAGAAGATGTTTATAAGTGTAACACATTTGGCATTGGTATAAAACAGTACAAAACTTACAACATTTTGACTGCCAGTGAGGATTTGCCTCACTGTGTTTTGGAGTCCTTTCATGGCAGCCGAAGCCAACAATTCCAATGCGTATGTACTTGAGTTGCTCTAGAATTTCACACAGATCAGAGGCCTGCTTTCCATTTGTCTCTCACACTGCTCTGGTGTTTTCTGTGTGCCCAGCTGCCATGCTCACTTCTCCTGTATTGTATGTAAATAGCTATTTGCATATGTGCAAACTTGCTAGTCCTACAGAAGAACATCCTGTCCTCTGGAATTTGTGTGTACAAAGCACTGTCTTCTTTCATATGATGATTTGTTTAAGCATGTTAAGATTTTGCAGTTAAATGCTACGCAAGGAGGAGACTGGGAAGGATTTGTGAGCTGCTGGTAAAGGTCTGATTATGTAATATACTGGAAAACTGAGTTATGCTGTTGGAGAGTGGGATCAGGGCAGGGAGGGAATTTGTTGGTGTTCAGGGAGTGCTCTTGAAGTAACTTGTACCAAATGTCTTGATGTTTTTTGTTAGTGTAGGGCACTTGGGTATAGGTAAATGAAGATATCTGAAGGCCGTTTGCTTTTTGCTCTAGCCACTTCTTTCATTATTTCTTCCCTGAAGCTGGTGTTTCCTAGCTTTTCTTCAGAGCTGCTATTCAGCAAGGACAGTAAAAATGGCCAGCCTCCAACTATGGATTTGTGCAGCCTGCAAGAGTAGAGGAAAGTTTTACTCCTTTTGTGTTGTTCTTCAGAAGACATAAGAGGAAGACTCATGCATGTGACACAAATGTCAGTTCAAGGTTATGTCCTGTATTACACATATTTTTTTTTGGTAATCCTGCAAGAAACTAAGTTTAAAAACCTATAATCCTGTAAGGATCTATTTTCCAGCACAGGATGGACTGTAAGAATATCAACAGCTCTTAGAGAGGACAACAGAGAATTCTTTTTCTTCTAGCGCTTAAAATGTTTTGTTAGTATGTTGATGAGAATGAAAATAAATAAAATTGGGCTGGCAAGAGGAGATAGACTTATTACAAGACAAGGGTGGGGTGATGATAGGAAGGCTCTGCAGAGGGATCTGGACAGGCTTGATCATGGCTGAGGCCAATGGTGTGAGGTTCAACAAGGCCCAGTGCTGAGTCCTGCCCTTGGGTCACAACAACCCCAGGCAGCTCCACAGGCTGGGGCAGAGTGGCTGGAAAGGACCTGGGGTGGCTGGTGAGAGCAGCTGAACATGAGCCAGGCTGTGCCCAGGTGGCCAAGAAGGCCAATGGCATCCTGGCCTGGATCAGCAATGCTGTGGCCAGCAGGGCCAGGGCAGGGATTGTCCCCCTGTGCTGGGCACTGCTGAGGCCACACCTCCAGTGCTGGGTCCAGCTCTGGGCCCTCACTGCAGGAAAGGCACTGAGGGGCTGGAGAGAGTCCAGAGAAGGGCAATGGAGCTGGGGCAGGATCTGGAGCACAAGTCTTGTGCGGAGTGGCTGAGGGAGCTGGGGGTGTTTAGCCTGGAGAAAAGGAGACTCAGGGGGACCTTATTGCTTTTTACAACTGCCTGAAACCTGTAGCCAGGTGGGGGCCAGCTTCTTCGCCCAGGCAATCAATGACAGGACAAGAGGAAATGGCTCAAGTTGCACCTGGAAAGGTTTAGATTGGATATTAGTAAAATTTTTTTTCTCTGAAAGAGTTGTAAATCTTTGAAATGGTTTGCCCAGGGAAATGGTGGATTGATTCAAAAAATGTGTGAATATGGTACTTGAGGACATAGGTTAACAGCTTAATGTTGAACAGGGTGGTGATGCTGGGTTGGTGGCTGTACTTGATAATAAAAGTATTTTCCAACCTTTATGATGCTATGATTCTATGAAATTAAATAATTTCTGTGTATTTGAACAACTGTCTTTCAGAGGTGACTTCTTAGATATATTTGGATTTACAGTATATTTTAGTGAAGATTCTTAACTGTACAAACTTTTCTTCAAAATAGGTATTGGAGGAGCTTCTTAAACATGAAGTTATTGCTGATACTAAAATTAAAAAAAGTTCCGGTCAGTTTGGCTTTCAGAAGAAAGATTCTTTTATCAAAGTGTCAGATATGAAAACTTTTAATGGATAAGGTTGCTACGATTTATTTATGTCAATCTATCAATTACTGGCTAAAAAAGTTGTTCTGTATGTTAACCACATATATTACAAATGATGACAAATAGGGCAAAGCTTAATAGAATAAGTTGGTTAAGTAAAGTGTGAGTCAATGTGGTAGACTGCAATACAATAAACTTTCTAAAGTGCGTAGTTGGAGTTTATTATTTTCCTTTGGAGTAATACAACAATCTATAATAATTTAGAAATTATATCATTGTCACAGGACAGCATGAAAACATTTGTATTGCTGTCATAACCTTAAAGGTAAAAATCAATAATACTAAAAAAATTGGAGTACTGTTCTGTACCAGTAGATAATTCACTATATAACTACTGAGTATTTACTCCTTGATAATAACCTTATGTCTGATTTTTTACCTCCTTTCTTTAAATTTTATTATTATTATTATTATTATTATTATTATCATCATTATTATGTTCAAACAATTCCTTTTCCTGTGATTTAAACTGAAATCTTGACATCTGAAATATTATATTCTGCTAAAAATCTCAGCTTCTATTTTAATTTAATTAAATGGCTTTTTTTTTCCTAGACTGATTTTGCAAGGTTTAGTGGAACTAATGTAGAAACAGACTTTGTGGAGGTACCTTCACAAATGTTTGAAAACTGGGTGTGGGAAAAAGAGCCACTACAACAGATGTCAAGACACTATAAAGATGCAACCCACGTTGGAGACACTCTCCTGGAGAAACTTGCTGCCTCTAGACTTGCTAATACAGGTATATCTGCATTTTCTCTCCAAAGTATATGTATAAAAGTATGTAATTTAAAAAGCTGACAAACATAAGAAGCCTATTAAATTTCTTATGTGTTTACACTTACACTGTCTTTTTGTGTTTATTTGTGTGGGAACCCCACTAAAAAAGGCTACAATGTCAGGTAGAATTCTTTACAGGAACAGCAGCAGCTCTGATTTTCCAGGCCAGCTCCAGAACTAAAGTATCCTTCCTATCCATGTAAATTTTAACCTGTAAGCTTTTTTTGTTTAAAACTGGTGGTGTGTGTATTAGGTGGAGGAGGGTAGTCTGGTGTAGTCAGGTAGTCTGGTGTAGTCAGGTGCGGCTTTTGTGGTTTTTTAATCTTAAATGTAGTCCAGAACAGGCACTGTGCAAGACATAGTATAGCTACATGTATTGTCTACATTTGATTTGCATGCAACACTTAACAGATATGAAAGTTACTTGCAAATTTGCTGAACAGACATAACATATCCCAGACAGCATTGTTGTAGACCTTATACATATCTCCAAACTGAGACTGTAATTACACGTCATTACCTATCATGTCATTATTATTCTGTCACTCTCACCTCTTTATTCTTGTAATCAGATCTTCCCATTTACGCAATCAATTCATCCTTAACCTACTCCTGTTTATTTCGTACTGCTTTCCTATCCCGAACACGAAATCTTTGTCCTTGTGGCTTGCACAGACTCTAGCTGCATAAGCATTTTGTCTGAGTAAAGGGTCATATCTTGTAGTTTCTTAAAAACAGTTTAAATGAAAATTTGCTTTTAAAATATCTGCTTTATTTTAGTTTTAATCTATGAGGAAAGTAATAATCAAAAGAGGGGGCTTAGCATGATAATTCCTTTTTTAAAACTATGCTTCCCAACTCTTTTTAAGTGGAGTAATTCAGATGGAAATTATATAACTCAAAAATTCTAGTAATTCAGCATGCATGTTGAGATGAAAGGAGAGATGAAAATGAAACTCCATCTATTTTGATGCTGGTTAATTAAATGTTTTTACCCGATTAGGCCTTCTAACCCTCCGTCAGATTGTTTTGAGCAAAGTTGACCAGGCACTGCATACAAAGCTGTCTGTTGACCCAGCAGATGAATATGCTAAATACTGTATGGAGATTCTAGGAATTCCTGCCACCCCAGGTATGTAAGTAGGAAGCTTTTATACAGCATGCCCAAATGGTTCAATTTAACATGCCTTTCTTTCTCAGTAATGCTCGGCATACAAAAACCAGGACTGTTCATGGAATAATCTACTTAATAAAGCTGAAATAATTATTTTTAAATTTAGGATGATCTTAGTGACTTCTTCTGAAGGAAGATTCTGAAGTTAAATATAAAAGTTAGCGTTTTGCAGGATGTATTTTAGAGTGACATGATGTGAATTCCACTTTGGATGTTCTGTCACATCTGTATTGGATGTACAAGTAGCCTAAAATGGGAAATTGAGTTTCCTTTGTTATCAACAGACTATGTTCAATAATTTGAGGCATACTCAGACCCTTTATGCTAAAAGTTTCAAAGTAGTTGTTATAAATTCCTTATTAATTTATTGTTGAAGTACTGTATGCATCAAAGAAATAACTGAATTTGATTTCAATAACTTGATGTTAATCTACTTTTCAAGGAACAAACATGCCAGCTACTTTTGGACATTTGGCAGGTGGTTATGATGGTCAATACTATGGATACCTGTGGAGTGAAGTTTTTTCCATGGATATCTTTTATAGCTGCTTTAAGCAAGAAGGAATAATGAATCCAAAGGTAGGTGATGAATACTTTTTGATAAACTCTTCTGTTGCACTTTGTCTCTGAAATCACATTTATTGCCATCATGACCCCTAAGTATAATATCTCAAGTACTACTACTGTACCTGTCGAGTTCAGATCAACAAAAAAAATGTGTAAAAGTAACTTTAGGAAAACCTTTTTAAAATTTCCAAGAGCACTTGAATTTTAATGCAATTCTTACATCACCATATATTTAATACTGTAGTACTTTTGAGATATTGTGTTGCCTTGTGCAATGCCTTCCTCTGATTGAAAAAACATTCCTCCATTGCAAGAGCAGATGCATATTCATCTGCTGTGAAACCTGTATGATAGTGGTGCTCTGATTCTTTTAAATTTCCATTACATTCTGTGTACCTGAATTATATGGTCCTTTTATGTAGTTATTATTTAGAAAACTGAATTTATTTTGAGCTTTCTCTGTCACAATACAGAGTAATGTGAAAGTTGTTTCATCTTCACTTTAAATCCCAGGTCCGTTTTGAAGTCCAAATCATTAACAGGTTCTAGATTTACTGGGTCTTTTTTCCCTAGAGTAATTCTCCAGCCTCTTCTGCCTGCAGCAGAGAAAAAGGATAATTAGTGATGTGGTTAGTAGTCCTGCCAATTCTAGCGATGTTTTTCAGAGATTATAGTATTAGACTTGAGTGGAGGTGCTGCAGATGAGATAGGTGAGTTCTGCCATTTTGGGTTTCCTGATCTTCTTAACTGTGTTCTTGATTCAGCTGCCAGCACTAGTTCTTCCTTTTGATAGAAATACACAAGAGAGAAATAAAGGAAAGAGTAGAAAATGCATGGCTGTCCTTTTTCTCCCCTGGAATTTGCCTTTTTTCCTCCCTGTACTTATCACAGCAACCAGAACTTCTAGAACTGTCCATCGCTCTAGAGGATGGAGACAGTAAACAAGATTAGATTTCGATCTGGACAAAGAGAGGAGTTGAAAGAGAATCATGCGGACGGGGTAAGACTGTGAAACTGAGGCAGTGGTTAGGCCAACAAAACCCAAAAGGGGTTTTTTGAAGAAAAACAGCCAACTTCACAGTTTGAGAGAAGAAGTGACATAGGGTTTGGAAGTTAAGATTGACCTTGAAGGGATAGGGATTCATGACAGGTACATATGAGAATAAATATACCTGCTTGTTCATTGGGAATATAGCCAGTCATAAATAAGAACAGTAGAGAAGAAGTGTAAAGTTAAATGAGTAAATAAAGTAAATTTTAATGGAATGTTGTTCATATCGATCTTAAAAATGGTATTTCAGGAGGGATCAGATTTGCTGGCTTTTATAACTGCTAGCATTTGGGAAAGATGGTTAAGGGTGCTGGTGCCAAACTTGTGGAGCTTTGTGTCAGTTTTTTGTTCTGGCATGTCCATATCCCTCCAGTGCCATCGCACTTTTATTCCATCAGTTTTACTCTCTAGTCTCAAAAGTCTGATTTAAGTGACTGTACAGTGAAAATCCTAAGCTATGGTTTGGCAAAATGGCTCTGTTACCTTTACTTCTCCTGAGAGATGTCTTTTATTCTGATTTTTTGGTGAAAATTTTTGTTTCTTTGTCTGTATATGGGAGCCTTTGAGAATAAATTAATTACACTAAACATGACTATTTTTGTGGAACAGCTGAAAGACAGCTAGTGCCTCTTTTATTGTGAGGCCTGTTATCCAGGCTAAAAAATGAGGCAGAAAGATGATTATTTATGTGTGTCACTTTCTCTCTGGCATATGTGCACACAAACACTTTGTGTGAATGCTGATATAACTTCATGGATAGCTGTGGAGATTTTTTTCTCTCCCTCTTCCATGTTATCTTTTCAAATTAGTTATCTTTTAACCCAAATAAGTGTGATAGCATCCCACAGGATGGGACAAACAATTTTTTATAAACAAATGCTAGATACCAGTATGTTTTTTGTACTTCATTATATCTAGATTTAGACTAGTCTTCTGAACAGCAGAAAAGAAAAATGGTTACACTATTATGACTAGGTCTTATAGAACTTTGGCTTACTTCTTCCTTTTTTAATTAAACCTCTCCTTCTGTTTTGAGCAACAGTTATAAAACTTAATTTCAGAGATTGAATGTATTAAAATCCTTCCACAAACAATTAACTCTAACTTTATTAGTAGCCAACCTCCTCAATTCTTGTACATTATCTGAACTAACCTCTGGTCTCCCTAGAACTAATCAGTATTCTGGCTCTGAAGGGGTAACAGCAAAGACTCAAGTCTACTCAAAAATAGTTGTAAAATATAAGGAACAATATATTCATTTGCTGCTGATGTTCAGCAAACTAACAATTGTGAAATGTGAACAACGTGTCAGTGATTTTTTTAACTTATTTTTATTTTATTTTAGATTTTTCCAGCTGTAATTCAGACAATGCAAATGGTAGCTCAGTTAAGTCATGGAAGCTCATCACTTAAAAACACCTTCGCTTGTTTTTACATGTCATGTCTTGATTTGAAAGACAGGTGTCCCCCAAGGAAGGCAGGAACCTCCCTTGGAATGGAGAATAGGACCCCCCTTCCCTCCAAATTATTGTAAATTTGAAAATAAGGTGCTTTCAGGCAAAGATATGGAAAAGGAATAACAGTTCTTTACTGCTATGTCTGTGTATGACAAGGCAAACAAGCCATAACAGCAAACAAACCAGAGCACCCGATGAAGTCGCCTCCTGGCGGTTTATCCCATTTCCCCTTGGTGCAGTTCTGGTCACAGCCAGCAGGGGCGCTGCTGGCTCCGGGCCAAGCAGGGCAGTGCTGTGATTCCCCCGCGCCTGCAGGGGGCGCTGTGACGCGAGCTCAGGGACCACGCGGGGATGGCGGCTCGGCCCAGACGGGGAGTCATGAGCGGCAGCTGGTCACGATTACCAGGCTCCTGTGCAGAGGTGGCCCATATGGGGACACCCCACATGCTGGCTCTGGACCCCCCACCAAACGGCCGAGAAACGAAAAAAAATAATTAAACAGACTTGCAGTGCAGGAAAACTGCAGCAGACAGGGATCTCTGAGTTCAGCATGCAGGAGTGGCTGTTGCAGCGCGAGGTGGGCAGAGGGTCTGGCAGGAGCCAGTCCTAATATTTCAGCTCCAAGTGGTCAGGCAGCAGGGAAAAAGCAGACAGCGCCCTTCTCCCACAAACCCGGAAACCAGACTGACCAGAAGCCCAGCCCCAAACCTCCAGGTCCCCTCACCTTTTCTCTGTGTTGACAGATCTAACGCCTCCAGCCAGGGCCATTCCAATGGATTGTTGTGACCCACAGCTACATCTTTTGTTTTCTTAAGTATTGGTAGTTATTGTTTCCTAGCAACATATGGGACAAAACTCCATGAGAGGAAGAAACAAAAGGAAAAATCCTAACCCCCAAGAAGTCATGAGGAAGCAATGTGTTCTTGTTGAATTGTGGGAGAAGTGTATATGTATACACTGCTTAAAAGGAAGAACATTGTCTTCTTTAATATCAGAAGCATTTGGGAAATGCGCATGCAAAATAACATTTTCTCATTCATAGTCACATCTCAGAAGCCCAGAATTCTTCAGATATATACATTCCTTAAAATACAACTTCTTGTTAAGAAACTCCTCATTACTTGTTTTCTCAGAAACTTCATTAATTTTTTTAAAGGAATCCATTTTTTCTGAAGTAATAATGTTTCTTCTTTAAACTAAAATCTGAGTTAAGCTTCATTTTCTCTAATATACTATAATAGTTGTATTAGATGTGTTTGTTTGTATGATATGTACAACTGTGTATATTACTTGGGTGCGAGTGCCATGCCATTCCACAATGCTATGGCCTATCTCATCTCTGAAGTATCTTCTGTGTTATCCAAACAAAGATTAAAGAAAGAGAAATCATCGGTTAGAGAAAGGATGTTGGGTTCCCTCTTATTGCCTATCAGTCATGGGGTAATCCTTCACTGGATATTTTAAGGAGGTTGTGTTTTTGTTATGCTTTATAGAATGTCTTCAGATAAGTTGTGATTATAGCTTCAAAACCAGTGTAAAACCACAAGAAAAATAATTTCGTTAGAACTGGTCAAATTTCTGCTCTCTTGAGTTCTTCCAGCAGATCTATATTATACTTGTGACATATCCTGGTATATCCTAATTTGATATTAGGAAAATGTGGAAGGAGGAAAGTTGTTTTATCATGAATAGATTTTTAAATATGCAACAAATACAGAAAAGGGGGCAGTGGGCAAAATAAGAAGTACTAACATTCTGCTTTACTTTCTGTCAGGCTGGGATGAAATACAGAAACCACATTTTGAAACCTGGAGGATCTTTGGATGGAATGGATATGCTACAAAATTTCTTGGAGCGTAAACCAAGCCAGAGAGCTTTCCTATTGAGTAAGGGATTACGTGTTCAGTGAAGCTATGATTCTTTGGTAATGGCATAAAGTATGGAATCAGCTGGAAATGTCAGTGTATTTCACATTTTAACTATGTATCATTCTAGGCAAACTAGGTCATTTTTTGATGATTTTTTAAATTGTATAAATAAAAATGTGACTTTTAAAACAGAACTTCATAGGACTACAAAATTCAACATCAGGGAAAAAAATTCTGAGATGTGCAAAAGCTGAGGAAATTGGATGGTAATTTTTAAATTTTTTTATGAAATAGTATTAATTAATACTGATCAATATGAGGAGTTAATGCCATGTTTTTCTTTTAAGAGACGCATTTAAATTATGTCTTGTGAATTAATTTTAAAACTGAAGGGGATAAAAATAATATAACCAGCAATAAAGGAAACAGATTCATTCTTATTCTCTATTCTCTTTTGTATTGATGGTTCACCAGTGTCTCTAATGGATAGGAAGTGTGTTTGATTTTGTCATTGTTTGAATTCAGTCCAGCTGCCTGACAAGTTTCAAGACTGACAACCTCCCCCAGATACCTTTACAGCAGAGATGTTTGTGTGGTACTTTCAGACCTAATCCTGATGCATGTTAAATTTTTGTACCATTTATATACTTACGAAGTATAACTAAAAAGGAAAAAATCAGTCAAAATCAGTGACTTTTTCAGTTATTCCAACAGTCTTTCTGTTGATAACCACAAATCAGATCTTTATTTTCCAAATTATATCAACACAGGCATTGAAATATTGCACTTGAGCAATTATAATGACTTCAGTTGGCTTCTTAAGTATTTTGAGATACAAATAAGGAAGGAAGGAAATAAGATATCCCTGATGGGCATGATAAAAGACAATTCAAAGTTTTCCTGTTCCTTTCCAGTGTGGCATGCAAGAGATGCTACAAAAAAGTGCAATAGATTTAATGATTTCAGCTGTGAGAGTGTGAAAGTAATCAAGGAATTATTCTGCAATTTTTCTGCAAAATCAGGAAAAAGTAGTCTTACAAGCTAACTCTACACCATCCAAATAAAGCTGCTAATCCAAGTGCACTTTTCTTGTCTTAGGTATCATATCTTACTGTGGTTGTACTATTATGGCATGATATAAACAGCTTCTAAATTTTATTTTCTAGCCAATACATTTTTGACATTTAAACCACAGTTGTAAACATGGTAGGAGTCTATAGTTATTGTTCAACAATGAGACAAGAAAATGTGCCTGGTCAACTCAAAAGACTTGTTTCAGCAAAAGAAAGCATATAATTCACTGTGGGTCAAAGCTGTCAATTTGTTTTAAGGGGAAAAAAATAAAATTGGGATTGTTCTCAGAATTTGTGAGTGTTTCTCAACGTGAGAAACTTTATTTTTGGCCCTTTTTTTCTTTTAAAGCATTGAAACTAGGGAGTTAAAAATGAGCTTAATTAGTTTCTGGAATAGAAAATCTGAATGGACTTACCTTCGAACTGCACCAGTTAGATGTGAGGAATCATAACTATTTGTAGCCAAAACAGATTAACTCTATAGTCTGACCAGACCACACAGTTAAGTCAAATCTAACTGTTATAGTCAGTTACAATTTTAGGCCACAGTCTGCTGGCCCATGAAAAGGCAATGCATCGATCACGTGTATGAGAACATCTTGAACAGTGATCAGTATGGCCAGAATGGAAAGCTGAGAAAACTGGTGGATACAAGATTATCCCAAAACCTATGAATTTTGCCTAGATTTATCTCCCTTACATTATTTTGCTTACAGTATTTTGCCATCTTTTTATACATGTTTAAAATTCTGGTGATCCTGTCTTATTAGTATGTTTTTTTTTCTTTCACACTGTAATGATAGCTCCAAAGAATGAAAACATTGTAAAAAACATACTAAGTGATACTTTCTCCAAATGAATCTGCAAATCTAAGCAATAGAACCTTTATTATGAAAAAGACAGTTTTCATTTTACAGTTGGTAGGCAGATTTCCTTCCACATGAGGGAGACCTTTCTCTACATAAAATCAGCAGTCTTGGATCAAGGTAGATAATTGTAAGTACAGTAATTACAGCCAAAAATACGTGGTGATAAAAAGTCATGTGATTTAAAAGTTAGATTTAGAACAGTACTGATGGTAATTATGACAATTTAATTGACTTTTTAATTTTCTTACTCTTTTAGTCTGTGTGCTTGTGTGTTGTACAGTGTTGAATAGCCAAGATACTGAAGTGCAGGAGAATGTCTGCTATTAGTCGTGTGTGGAAATGCCTGCATGATTGTACAGTTATGTTAGCAGCAAATGGATATCCATGTGTGTAGGGAGGAAAAAACTAAACCATATTGTAACCACAAATGAAAGTGTTATGTTCTATATCTGTTCCCAAAGAATAGGATTTACTGTAATTTGTTTTTGTAGAAGCCAGTTCCTTCATCAGGCGGTAATTAAGTCAGATCAGCCTATGGCTAAACACTACATTCAACACAGAAGACTAATGGGTATGTTCTGATATGCTTATGAAAATCTTAATGTGGTAACATATCAAACTTGTCTGCTAATTTTTATATTGGCTTCCTGGAGCCCTCTGAATTAAATTGGGTTTGGATTAAATGCCTTTTTTTCTTCCAACTAAAACTTATTCTATGATTCTCTGAAATTGATGTTCATGTTTTTAGTCTAAATACCTGATGTTGGAAAGGAAAAGTAACCTGGTTTCTGTTTCTGCACCTGTCTATAAGAGGTAGAAAACTTTGTATAGGAAAAACTTTATCTGACACTATTCTAAGGCTATGACATGGAGGACCCCAATAAAACAGGGAACGCTTCTGCTTTGCAAACATGAGTTGATGACCTTGACACTGCCAGAAACAATCACAAATATGAAATCATGCCAAAATCATGCCATAGGTAGCTGACAAAGCCTAGCCTATTCTAGAGCTGCTAGACCTAGGCTTCCCCTGAATTAAATTTCAAAACCATGAAAGTCTGAGTTTATTCCAGCCCAACTGTAAGTATTCACTATAATAAATGAGGAAGTAATTTGTAGTTTTTGTCTGTAACAAACAGATGGCTTTTAAAGTTAGAATTGTATCTTAAAATTTCACTGTGTTAAGGATTATTATTTTCTTGTATTAGAAATTCAAATTGAACTTTGGCTTCACAACAAAGGCTTCTCAGGAAAGGGTAATATCAGAGACTCAGGAGAGAGTGCCTATTATCCACTGAGCAAGTGGATAACAGGCAACGGCTTTCAGTTTCTGTTGTTTCATTGTAAAAGAATGGCTTGAGCATGTGGCTGGGTTACAAGATGGCTAAGTGATGGCCTCAGCAGCTGCTATTGCCTACTTGTCTGACAGAGGTCCAACTTTGTGGATTGCCTGTAAGTCACATGGTAATTTTTACATAAATGGTAAAAACAGTCTGAGTAAGAGGTTTAAACTTTGCTCTGTGAGATGTGGTGGCTATTAGTTATTATGCTTCTCTCTGAAAAAATGAAATTATATCCAAATACCTTTGGAGGTAGTGCAGGGTAGTTGAGTTAAATGGAGATTCCTGAAGGGATTTTCTGGAAGCATAAGAGCTGTTTGCATGATAAGTGATCTACTGATAGGGGTTAGAGAGGCTAAATATCAGCTGGTTATGTGGTACCCAAGTCAGTGAAAAAGGAAGGAAAGCAGTTAGGTAGAAGGATGAGATTGGAGAATGATGTTTTGACAATAGTTGTAGAAGGGTTGAAGTGGATGTAAGAGGCAGATAACAGGAAGAAGACTAACTTGATGTATAGTGATTTGTAAAAGGCTGTTTAAATGTTTTTCACTGTTTTATGAATTAGAAACAAGACATGCTTTTCTAGGAATAAATTTCTGTTCTTACTTGCAAGCCAAAGAACATGAGACTATGCACTGGCTTGTTACTTGAGAACTTGACTTCTTCCTGACATCTGGAGATTAATTTTTTTTTCATCACTATTTTCTTCATTAATATATTTTAAATAATAGATTCTCGTGGTGGAAGGAAAGAAGTTTTTGGGGAAGTTCAGTTTGTGGGGCATGTGCCAGAAATCCTGTATGGCTAATCATCACTGGCCTGTGTAAAAAGTGTATATGATACTGAAGATGCAGTCCCAAACAGCAGTCAGTCTATTTTAGACCTCATTAGAATAGATAGAGACAAATTAAGTAAATGAATTGGAAGTAAGTGGTTGCCTAGAAACCAAAAATCATGACCTAATTTTGTTCAATATTGATTAACAGAGAATGGACTCAACCAATACTTCCTTGCTTTATACTACTGATAAATTGAAAAGGTTAAAAATCTCTGAGTTAAGAGAACCAAGGAGTCAAACTATTGGGAAAAAAAAGTGAATGAAAAGTTGTATGTCTTTGAGATTCAATTGGCCAAAATCCCACAGTTTCACAACTTAAAAATCTTTGTGAAAAATTCTAAGAACCAATCTGCTCACCAGTAAAAACAGCATTTAAAAATAAACAAAACAGAAGTGTGTGGTCAGAAGTAGGAAATAGTTATAAAATGAGGAATTGTCAAGTGTTAAAAATTATAAAGAAAGCCAAAACTGTCAAGGCAAAGAAAAATGGATGAAAGCATTATAGCAAATAATATGTATAACTTAATGTGTTAAGAACAAATAAATACCAGTTGAGTTACAGACCCTTCAGTGGATGGAAATGCTAATATGGCAGATGATAACCAAGACAGTTTTAAATTCAGTTCCTCTTCTGCATTTACAAAGAAGTGAGTGATGTAATCATGTCATGTGAGAACAATAGGGTACTTTCCTGTCTATTAAATGAGGACCATATTAAGCAATACCTATGAAGAATAATCATTGTGGCATGAGTAGAGTTGTATAATTTGTCCCCTACCAAACAAATAAGAATTAATGGTGAGGACATTTTCCCCAGTGCTGTGAATTTTGGGATAATTAGGCATATGTCATTGTCCTAAAACACTGCTAATGAGTTCTAGTCTTAAAAACCAAATAGGTGACTATTGGTCACATAGCTTGAAATCCAACTTCAGTGAAACAGCAGGAAGCATAAATATTTTTCTGTCATTGAAGAGCTAACAGTGAATATAACTTATAGAGTGCAAATGATTTTATGGAAAACAAGATTTTTCAGACAAGCCTGATGTAATCATTCATGACCATTACAAGCCTGTTGAGGGTGATTGTAGAGATTTATGTATTTGATTTAGCTCTTCATATTTTCATTTAAAATACCACTATATGATATGAATAGAGGATTTATAAAATGGATTAGGAACAGCTAACTGTTGGGAGTACTTGATGGCATAGAATTACCACTGAACAGAGTACAGTGGTCTAAGTGCTTCAGGCATCACACAGGAATATAAAAATATAAAACAATAATATAAAATCACTGGTGATAGAATTTGTAAGGAA